GTATCTGTATCTGTATCTGTATCTGTATCTGTATCTGTATCTGTATCTGTATCATCTGTTTCTGTATCATCTGTTTCTGTTGTATATTTTGTACCTTATCTAAGTAGGTTTCTTTTTTCTGTCATTATTTCTATACATATTGTCATTAGCTGTCAAACTCAAATTTATATTTGAATCGACTCAAACACTTACTTCCATACAAACATGAGCAAGTTGTTGTTGACTAAATACAAATGGCGTAGGCGTGGCAATACAAAGTCCCGCGGCTGGAGCAAGTTGGTGGACTTCGTCGAGGTGGACTGCAACGAGGTTAGCGACTCTGACAGTGAGCACAGCAACAACAGCCTGGCCTCAATCAGCCCCAAGTCGGATCTGAGCATCGAGCGGCTGCAGTTCTCGGGCGCCTTTGTGTCACGCGGAAAGGGAGATTCGCTGCAGCTGATGACGCGCTGCAGCGAGTTCATGGAGGATGACTTTGGCGAGGAGACGCTCACGGCCGACTACAATGGAGAGTGCTGCAGGTTCCGCATTTGGTCGCCCTACAAGTCCAAGCTGGCGGCTGCCCTGCTGAAGGACCTCGCCCACGTTCAGATCTTCGAGGGCAGCAAGGTAATGTACTTGGGCGCTGCGACCGGCTGCTCGGTGTCCCACTTGGCGGACATCGTGGGCGCTGGGGGCGTTGTGTATGCCGTCGAGACCAGCCCGTGGGCCAACAGCGAGCTGCTGGCGCTGGCCAAGCGCCGTCCGAACGTGGTGGCCATCACCGAGGATGCCACGATGCCCTACAAGTACCATCGCGTCATCTCCGAGAGCGTTGACTTCCTCTTCTGCGACGCGCTGCATCACGAGCAGCTGCGCATACTGATGCTGCACGCTCGACACTTTCTGCGGCCCGGCGGCCGATTCGCACTCATGCTGACGGGCACGCCGCAGGACTCGGCAGGACTCGGCGCCGTGCAACGTCTGCACGCCGAGCAGCTGGACGCGCTCGACCAGATCTCGCTGCAGCCCTACGTCCACGGCCAGTTCCTGCTGGCCGGCGTGTACAATCTGACCATACCCGAGACTCTGGCGGATGCCTGAGCGCATCGGGGCTAAGCGAATGAATCACTTTTATTTTGTACACCATTGTAAGCTCCCCCAAGTCCTTGATTCCTTGTCACCCAGAGACCTATTCAAATCAAATAAAAAAAACTCACAAAATGCAGAAATGTTGAAACAAAGCTTCGAAATGTTTTGCCCCCAAGTCGAAATGCACAAAGCGCTCTCGCGGATTTGCAGATTTTGCAGATTTGCCGTTGAAAGCAAATCAAAAGTAGTCGTGGCTGTGTGGGTGTGGGTGGTGTGGGCGTGGCGCTTGAGCGTGGGCGTGAGCGTTAGCGTGTGCAATGCAAAACAACTTAAAATGTCATATGAAATTTGTAGCGCTTGCTGATTGCGGGTGTTAAACAGCGCGCCGAATGGAGCGGGTATTCCCGCACATACTCAACGAGAGGACAGCGCGTAAATCCAGTCACGCCCACTCGACAGGCGGGCGGGCGGGCGACGTAAAAAATGCAGCTGAAGGCGAAAGCAGCGTGCCGAATAAAATACAAAAAAAAAGAGGAAGAAAATGAATTCGCAAAAAGAAGAAGAAAAACCTAACGCGAAAAATCACAAATTCCGACAAAAAAAATCTTTAAATCCCGTTGGATTTATGCATTTTTACGTTGCATTTGCCGTGCGCCGTTTGCCGGTCGCCGCATGTGGATTGTCTAACGCCGCTTTCATAGCGCGCCACGCCCACCGAAAGTTAAAGCCCGCCGCCCACTGCCTCACTGTGTGTTTTTCCGATTGTGGAAATGCGGGCGGAAAGCAATGAAATGGCTGCGTCGCAGTCGCAGTCGCCATCGACGTCGCAGTCGACGTCGCCGCCATTCACATTTATGTGATTTCTGCAGTTTGCCAACAGCGCCTCAAGGTGTCGCAGCAGCGAGGACGCCAATGCACTCGACTGCATGCAGCTGCTGCAGCTGAGCTGCTGCCCAAAATGAATGTGCTAGAGATGAGCGCGTGTCACGCGCAGCTCACACGATTCCCAGTTATTCCTAAAGCTTTTGTATCAGTTGACTTTTAGTACAGTTTAACTTATTATTATTATTATTATTATTATTATTATTATTATTATTATTATTATTATTAT